TACCTAGCTAACCTACCTATATAACTTCCAACCTAGCGGCCTACCCCCCTCCCCGGGCACCCCGTATCAGCGCCCAGAAGCGGCAGAATTCATGAACTCTTGCTTATTCCATTCTCCGCAGTGATCTAAGAAACCAGAGGACCACTGCGTCCAGCTACGCCCGCTCCAGGACACAAAATCTGAGTTCTTGATGGTTGAGATGGCCTCAAATGGCCAAATAGGTTAAAGCACAAGCCAACGAAAGTGCCAACGAACACAATCAACATCCCGAAACAAAGAGACCTTTGAAATGCAGCCACAACAAGAGAATGTGCGCGCCCTTCAAAAACAGAAGAGTATCTTTTACATTCTGTTACAAAACGTCTATCCCATGAAATGGACGTGACACAACATGAAAGTGGAAAATGGTCCCTGGCTGCGAGCCGCTCTGGCTCCACAAATTGGTGTTTCTCCATCTCTGTACTATCTGTACTACAGTGGTGAGTTGGAGACACTGTAGTAGGCCACATTTTGACATCACACGTGAAAACGCCTAGGTGCAAACAGCGGATCTCGTTTCTCCTCGGATATTTGGAAGCAAATATGGCATTTCTTTTCAATACTTGCCAGCATTCACCAAACAGTTTCCCATCTCCAACTGTGAATGACACTGGAGGTGATGCTTCAATAGGCAACTGGGCATAGATCTGCACCTACCCATAACACCATATAATACATCTGTATCTTCAAGCAAGGATCAGCTCTGCTTCCCAGGAAGTCACGTGTTGCCACTTCGCTGAAGGAACGGTTCTCATCCTTTAGGTATGGCGCCGTATCCAGTGCAACAGGGACCCCCACCTTAGGATCTGCCAAAGACTTGCTTGGAACTATGGCATGTCGTGAAAGTACAGAGAAAATCACGCCCAGATACACTTGGATTGACCTTCATAACAAAGTCAATATCCTGGGTGCCACAAGAATGTGAAAATAATGCGGTCTTCAATTGTTAACTCTATATCACTATTAAACTCAAAGCTGGTCGTGGTGGGAACCACGACTTTTCCTTTCCTTCACATCACGTTTTCCCATAGCTTAGCCATGGGAATTTCTGTGAATCCCTTTAAACAATAGTACCTTTCCCTACAGATCTAGCAACCAATTCATTAGTGTGAGCGCTTCTTCAAGGAAGCTCGCCCCACCCTCAAGCACGGGGAGCTTCCTTGAAGAAGCGTGCGCTATCCTGCGTCCATATGTAGTAGCTAATTTAGCCTAGTAGCGAACTAGTCGCCTTACTTTATCAAGTAGGGAGGGGGGGCGTCGGCCAAAAAATGTGTTTAAGAGGAAGTTGAAGTTCCTTTCAGTTCCTGCAGTTCGCCAGTTCCGGAGGGAGGGGAAAGGCTCCAGCGAATCTGTTGGCCACAGGAAAAGGCCTTAAAGGACAAGAAACAAAAAGCAAAAACAAACAAAGTAAGTCATAAAAAAGACACATTGGGTGACATTCTGTAACCAACTCCAGTCGAGAAAGCGAGGCTCTCCAGCGCAGTACTCTTTCTTCACCAACTGCATCGCCTCCTTGAGAGGTGTCTACTAGCAATGGCCTCCAACCTCAAAGCGATGGCCTCCAACTTAATAGAGATGGCCTCCAACACGATGGCTCCTTGAACCTTATAGAGATGGCCTCCAACCTAAAAGCAATGGCCTCCAACCTCACAGCGATGGCCTTGAACCTTATAGAGATGGCCTCCAACCGAAAAGCAATGGCCTCCAACCTCCATTCGATGGCCTTGAACCTTATAGAGATGGCCTCCAACCGAAAAGTGATGGCGTGCAACCTCAGTCCTTGAGAGGTGCCAGTAAAGTTGCGAAGGACCAAATCAAGATGCAGGTGATGGACCCTAGGAGCACAAGGGATTCGGCTTGGCTGCCACGTTTGCTGCCTCAGTGCGGGCAGTCTTGGAATCTTCATGAGTCTTCAGGTTAGCTGTGCCAGAAATCTCACTGGACTGGACTAAGCTAAAATTTGCATGGCATGACATCAAAATGGTAATCAAACGGGTGTCCTGTTGACCTTCCGAGCTGCTTCGAGGGGTCACCGCATAAAGTTCCTCCACTTTCCGTTGAATCCTCCGGGGCATCAAGGCGGCAAATAACTTCCTGAGTTCCAAAGGCGGCTAAAGCAATCAGGTGCACTTGGGTGTACTTGCATCACTGGAGCCAGAATTAAAGCCTATTTCCAAGACTATTGCTCCGACTCATGCATGTTTTATGCTCAAGTTTATGCTCAAAAGCTTGGTGGAGGGTATCGAAGTCCACTGAAGCCTGTTGTGTTGTTGCGTGACATGGAGCTTCGTCCCTTGAGCCACTTCAAGCCTTAGGTTGGAGGCCATCGCTGATACGGAGGTGCACTTGTGCCACTTCCCTTTTGGCCAAAGCCTCTCATCCACGTTGATGATCGTGACCAAGGCCACGCCATTCACCATCAAATCTTCAATGGAAGTGGTGCCGGCCAGCCAAAGAATGCCGGCGTTCAACAGCACCACCTTTTTGGCAAAAACAATCAGACGAAGACGATGAAACATGATGAAACGGTGTTCATACCGGACAAATGGAATCCAAGGATTGAGAGGTGCTGGACCAATCTTGTGAGAAGGCAGGGAACAATTTCAGAAGACGGGGGCAAGGAAGCAGGAACAGCTCTAGCATGACAAATCCAAACTAGGGATACCAAAGGTAGGAAGGTGCCTTGTGGAGATATTGGGGAAAGGTATCCACATTGGGCAGGTCGGACACATCCAAAAAAGAACAAGGAAACACGTTTCTTGTGGAAGCTAACTTTGAGCAATCACGGTGCAGGGAACTAAGTAGGAAATGGATTTAAAGGCAGAAAGCAAGGAATAACTAGGGTAGGCAGGAAGAGGTGTACTTCTGCAGCACTACACAGTATGGAAGCGCAGAAAGGAACGTGAAGTTGTGGGTCTTCTTAGCACATCTTCACACACAAACACGCATCGTGATGCAGTGTCTGCTGTGCCCGTGTGACTTGTCCGCTCTCCGCTAAGCCACTGCGATGCAAGTCCGTAGGAGAGTCAACAAACCATGTGCCACCAGGCGTGTAAAGGAGATGCCCGTGATCTGGTTTGAGCGAAGGCTGCTCGCAGCACGTGGCACTTGCCAGATCCTGACGCTCTCAGCACGTGGGTGTGCGGACTTGGGGCTTGGAGCGGGTTGGAGCCGCTTTGTGTTTGGAATGCTTTGAGGTCTCGAACATTTCTTGAGGTTTGCAACTGAGAGGCGCAAAGCTGGTGGACACAATCATCCGAAATTCTTCAAACAAGTACCTGAGGTGTGTGCGCCCTGCATGCAACACAGTAGATGCAGTCTGAAGCGGCGCTGAACAAAAGCAAGTGAACATTTGAAGAACACGCAAAACCCCGCAAGGAAATGCAAAGGAGGCACAAACACCATTGCATGATGCAAAGTGTACAAAGCAACACCCCCGGTGAGAAACAGCTCCCGTGCATCTGCAAATTTTCAATGCCTAAATAGGCATTGATGTTTTCGATCAATGATGCTTGTGCATCTGCCATGATCAAGGTCCGGTCATTGTTGCAAACCCTGGATACCAGGCTGTGTGCCGCAGGGTTCATGTAGCTGGCGTCGTGTCCCACCAACTGGCGCCACTTTCGTGCAGCATCGGCTTGTATTGAGAACGACGTCCCAGCAAACTGGGGTGAGAGAATGGTTTGACAGAACAAAGCTTGCATAAGGATATTCACCAAAAGGACCATGAACGCAAGCACGTCGCTCAGCATGCCAGCATCTGTAAGCCCAAGAACCAGCAAAAGATTCCATGTCGAAGCCTCAAATTTTACCTCTTGGAAAGTCGTAGTTTCGAATTGTTGTTGTTGGTAATCGCTCACCATATCCTTTGAAGATCTTGATGGGATCCGAGACACTCTTGCATATTCCTACCGGGTTTGAACAGCAACGCAAAATGGTTAGCGATGCTGCTTTTCAGTATTGTACTCGCATCTTATCACACCGACCTTTAAAATCTTTTGCATTACACGTGGCGGTTCCTTCTGTGACTCTTCCAACAGGCTGTCGTCATCACGAGGTTCGTGGGACATAGCCCCAATCTGCGCTTCGACCCAGCTAAGCCGTGCCAACAAAGGCTGAATGCACTGCGAGATCTCATCTCGAACTTCCGCGCGCAACCGGTATTCCTCGGCTGGAAATGAGGGTGTTCCCAGTCAACAGTTTTGTTCAGACACTTTAACTTCCTGGCAGGCAGCATGCAAAAAAAACAAAGAGCATGCTGCTTCGCATCGTTTGTGAAAGGCCCACACTTTAATTTGTTGGCCAAGGTACCCTTGCAAGAGAAGAGGTAGGTAGTGTGATAGTTTGGCTTTCAGTCCGACGAAAACGCTGTTGTGACAACGTTGTGTGTGTGAGGATAGGCCAACTTCCGTCCGAATATACGGATTAAACTCAAATTCTCCATTGAAAAGCTGAGAATCCAAATTAGCAATTTCCACATCCAACTTCGGGAGTGGTATTTGTCCATTCTCGCTTCGCCACATTGCTAAGCTGGACGGAAAGTTGCCTAACCACGGAGGGCCTGTCACTGCCTATCACCATCAATGGGCACAGGGCCCTTTGGTGCACAACCATGCTACATCTGCTCGAATAGTGACTCCTACACAGTTCTGAGCGAAAGTTGGATCAGCGCTCCCTTTGTCAGGCTTCTGTGTTTTCTCTTCTTTAATTTCATTTAAATTAGATTTAATTCTAATAGCTTCTTGTTACTAATAGTAAGGCACCTGTTACTACTAGCGAGGCACTTGTTACTAGGATTTGAATGCTTGGAAAATGGCGTCTGGTTTCGATGAGATGTCGCCATGCACATCGAACGGCAATGAGCTGCATGGCTAAATGCCATGTCCAATGGAATGGTGCTCTGGAACATTCTGGAACTAACGCCAAGGCATCATGGCAACCACAAAACTTACCCAAGGCGCCTCACTTGAAGTCCAATGTTCGGTTTCAGGCCAAAATTCCTCATCGAAAGTGGCGACTTTCCCAGTAAGAATTCACCTTTTCATGCTACAAGGAATCTGAGTGAAGCATGCAAACTGACAGGCCGCTGGCACATCAAAGCATGCAACAGAATATAAGAGAAAGCTCTTTGCCCAGGGTTAAATGACTGCGAAGGACCGAAGGACCGAAACACATATTAGGAACATGATGACATACGATGACCTTCGTTTCAAAGGTTCCTTGCTCCACATCTTCCATTCTAAACCTTTGCATGCTGAAACTAAGCTTGAGAAACTACGTGAAATTATGGTTTCCGGTTTCATTTGGTTTCCGGATGGCAGCAGAACCTCAGGAACTGGCCAATAGAGCTGTGCTTGCGATTCTGGCAGTGCGTTGTCGAACAGCTCAGTCTCTGCTTTTGCAGTAAAGGCCAGGGGCAACGGCACCTGGCTTCAACAAAAGGCCAAAATGAGCCTTCCGTCCTTCGAGCGATACGCCGGAAACAAAGAACCGAAACACTTTCCGTATTTCTTTCTAGTTCTTTCCGCTGATTGGTACCAATGCACAGCAGTTTTACAAAGCTATTCAGTTGGAAAAGCCTTGAAGCATTTGCTATGGTCCTATGCGGCAATGAAATGCGCCTGGCTGAGGACTGGTGCAGCTGCAAGAAAAAAATCCCGTCGCAAACAGGTGCTCCTATGCAGCATCCAAAACATTCAATAGTCTCCTGTAGCGGACTTGTTTGATGCAAAAGAGCACTTTCAACATGCACCCTTCAGGTTCTCATATGGTATCCATACCAGCTTCCCAACATTGCCCGTTCTCGGCCTCCTTGCGGCCCACGCAAAGGAGGCCAGTTTCGTCCTTGAAACAAAGCTGACTTGGTGGAGGTTGATGGCGAGGGCCAACGCAGGTAAAGGCCAACCTGGAAACTGTCAGGTGCGACGGTTCTTCTCCTTTGACGAAAGCAAACCCTCTGGCCCCACGCCATGACTCTAGATAGCTCTGTCTCTCTCTCTCTCTCTCTCTCTGTCGTCTCCTTCTGTCTGTCTCTCTGTCTCTTTGCCTCTCTCCCTCTTTCCCTCCCTACCCTAGCATTGAAAGTGTCAGTATGTTGAAGACTGCGTCTAGGAGCCTTCGGGTCCTTTCAAACGCTCTCCTTCATGGATTCCCAAGTGCTGGGCCAGCCGCTGCAATCCAAAAAACTTCCAAAATCGATGGAATAGTTGCAGCTTCCAACGTGGGTACTGCTGTTAGTAGTTGCATGTAGTACCACTGTCCCAGTCGTGATAAATGCACTAACGCGTCCGAATGTGCAGGCCCCAGCCTCGTCTCGGCCAAGATTTCATGAACCCCACGTTGTCAGGGTGCTTGGGGGGTGCATGCTGTGTTACGGACGCTTGTGCGCTCAGGAGCACCGCTGGGTGTTGCTGTTTCTCTAGCAGCTAGCCGAACTCCTGTGACTTTTACCTGAGAAAGGAGCCCCTAGTAGCGTCCTTGCTCCTAGTAGCGATGCCAGGAGCCCCTAGTAGCGAACCTTGTTACTCAACCTGCCAACGTTCAGAAACTTCGTTCGAGCCTGTCCGTTCCTTGGGCCCACATCTGAGCTCACTCGCCGACCGTCTTGACCGAAAAAACACACCCTGGAACTCTCAGGAACCACTAAATCAAGAAACGTTGATTTGCAGCCGCCTAGGGTCCAACAATTGATCTGGAAACGGCGCGCAGGATCCTAAAACAACATAAAACAACACATTAAACAACACAGTGGTTTGGAAACTATGTCCCGAATCCTAAAGCCAAAAGGAACAGAAAACACACAAACAATGATTTGGAAACTATGTTCATCTTGCAAAGGTTGGGACTAGTTTGGAAAATATTGCTATTCTCGGGCGTGGTTCCATCTTTATGATGGGATTAAGGTTGAACGAATTTGGTGGTTGTTGGTATGGGAGACGGATACATATATCATACATACATATGCAAAGACAGGTGGACTACGAACAGGAGAAGTAGCCCAGGGTAGGGCTATGTAGATCAACGCAACGCAAAGTAGAAGCGAGCAGAGCAGAGGTTGATATATATATATATTTAACATTACTGTGCGTTTCTTGGCTCCTTGCACTACTCTACCCATTGTTTTGCGCTCTTCCCACTTTAATATTCTTTATCCAATCATTTAATTAGACAAAAAGGAAGAGCTCCCAAACAATTGCATGCTGATTTAACAAGTTACTCCTAAAACTAAAGAACATCCAATCAAGGTACCCTGCATTAACAATACAATACCTGAAGAACCCTCTATCAAATGATTAATTTGTAAATGCATATGCGAATACACAAAAAGTTATATGCAGGGGAAGCCAGCAGGTCTGTCTTTGTCTCCACTTCTTGCAAGCAATCTGTGAGAACAACATCCTGGGTTGCACTTCTGAAAAAAGCCTGGAACAAACTCTTCCGCCTGTTGGAGAGTGAGTGTCCTATGTCCTACCCGTCACATCCTTCAATGCACACTGCACCTTTTCTGCCTCTTGGGTGGTGAGACTCAAATCCGACGCTGAGACCTTGGTTTAAGAGTCAGTGAGTGGAGGTATCTAAATAGAACTACTTGTGCATACATCAGGAGCACATCTGGTTATCAACTGATGCGACCCCATCACATTAGCATGCCAGCCTGTACAGGTTACTGTTTGCAAGCTAAAACAAAGCACGCTGCGGCCACCACACAAACAAATGCATTTGATGCGCAAGACCGACTCTTGGCTGATGACGTGTCGGGCCTCCCAATGGCCACTGCACCTCGCTTCGAGCTTTGATTGACGTCGGGAAAAGCAATGCGGTTGCAAGCAGCGTGATCGCATGCAAACTGTGCAAGGAAGTGAAGAACACAATGCAGTTGTTACTAGTAGCTTCTAGCTACTAGTAGTAAGAATGCTCCTAGTAGCGATGCCAGGAGCCCCTAGTACCGTCCTTGCTCCTAGTAGTAAGGCCAGGAGCCCTAGTAGCTTCTTGTTACTAGTAGCGATGCACTTGCTACTAGTAGCTTCTTGCTTGTTCATTCTTCAATGCTTGGGACTCTTTGGGCCCTACGACTGCACCTTTTCGGCTCGATTGGAACTGTGATAGTTCACTCAATCCACTTACAGTCTCAAGTGAAATGACTATCTCAGCACTGGAGCACGGCACTGCAAGCCGCTAGCCGCTAACTGTGATCTGTGGTGCAGCATTCCAGTAGCGTCGCTGCATGACATATGGGATCCTACCGTCAAACGAAACCAGCTAGGAGCAAAGGACGCTCCTAGGAGCTCCTGGCCTTACTACTAGGAACAAAAAGCTACTAGGGGCGCCTGGCATCGCTACTAGGAGCAAGGACGCTATTAGGAGCAAAGAGCATCGCTACTAGGTCCGCTTTTCTGAGGGGTTTGAAGCTGCCGCTTCCGGGGCCCTGATTTTGGTGCGGCTGTGCCTCCCCTCCAAAGTAACAAGAAGCTACTAGGTGGAGGCCATCGCTATTAGGTTGGAGGACATTACTACTAGTAGCAAGAAGCTACTAGTAGTTCCTGGCATTTCCACTTAAAGGTTGCAGCAGTGGTGCAGTTGCAAACTAAAGTTTTAAAGGTGCTCCTGGAGGGCTTGCTTTTTGCATTCAGGCATGCAAGTCAGGATTGCAGGGATGCAAGGACAGTGCGCTCTGCGGTGCTCAGCTGGAAGCTCGCAGCCGCACTTCCAACGACTGTGACTCCAAAGAGCTATATACGAGGATTCGTTATGTCAATTCCAGAGATGGACAGGTGATGGAACGGTTCTGTAAGGGACTGCAACTCATCTGCTCCTTGAAGCAAATCATCATAAATGCAAAAGCTGATTGAACATTGCGAGTGGTAAATGTATTCACCGTCGTGCAATGTCGTATGCCACAATCGGACAGTGACGTGTTGGTCTCCGACGCCGGGCTGTAAACATCTCCCATCTCTGACCTGGCGATCTCCGCTCCTGGAGCTGATCTCGGTTGCCTCAGGAACCGACGGGGCTGGGCCCGAGTGGCGGCGGTGGAACACTGTGTCGCTTCGGGCTCCAGGTGCAAAACATGAAAAATAGATTTAAATTGTTTCGTCATGACGAGGCTTTCTGCGGAAGGACCGTGGGCTCGCTCGAGCCCTTCCCCCTGCCCGCACGCTTTGTCGGCTTTGTCACAAGTCCAGTCCGGCCGAGTGAGACATGCCATCTGCACAAAGCTGGCAACGTTATCACATCTTTGCGTCAGTGCACTGGTTGAGCTGAAGGATGGCAAGTTGAATCAGTTGAACATGACATTGAACATGACATCGTGAGGAATTAGAAGGCTGAACCCTGTAGGGCATGGCGGACTTCATTGCGCTCTATCATACGCTCTATCATGCTCTATAGAACAATTCTTCCAGAGCATGCTCTGCCTCCGTCCTCATCTGAGAATTGTCTTGAAAAAGGCCATCAGACTTTGTCTCCAGGATCGATGTCCTCAGAGAAGCGTTCCAGGGATGTGACGGATGTGAGGACAAAGTACAGTAATCACTTTTTTCTGACTGGTAGGACGTGAAATTCTCTCAACACAAACAGAAACAAGCAATCCCAATCTGTCAACTTCCATGCCTGGCTCTCTCTACCTACTGCTAAAGGCTTGCAATGCTTGAACTTCTCGAAAGGGAGCCCACACAAATTCCGGAGAAAATATCCTTTCCAGGTCTCGTCCAAGCGCTCCACTAACTCTTCATAATCGATCTCCGCTGTTGGGCCTTCTTTGTTTTTATCTGCGAAATCAATGAAACCTTGGCTGGTTTGCAGTGAGTGCAAACTGAGAATGTCTCATGAGAGAATACCTCATGATACTCACGATGCAATCCCCGATGTAGTTCAGCTAAAACTAATTAGAGCAAGGCCAACTAACGCACACATTTCATGGACAGTTGGGCCAAAACTCCAACCGTTCAACCTGGGTCAAAACACTCAACATACAGAACAAGTCAAGACTGAATGTCTGTGGCCCAGGTACGGTCAGCTTCCTCATCATTGAGTGGGTCTCCCATGGTCATCATTACCTGATACACTCACCCAGGTTGACCAGACACTTTCAACACCTTTCAAGCAAAAAAAAAAACCTGTTTCGAATGGCGATGGTGCTCCAACCTACTAGCGATGGCCTCCAACCCAAAAGCGGTGCCCTCTAACCTAAAAGCGATGGCCTCCAACCTACTACCTCCAACCTACTGGCGATCGCGTCTAACCTAAGAGCGGTGGCCTCCAACCTACTAGCGATGGTCTCCAGCCTACTAGCGATGGTCTCCAACCTACTAGCGATGGCCCTCCAACTTCCAAGTAAAACAAGTTTTGGACTGTTCCCAGGTTATAATGAACTGTTCCGTTGGAACTGTGGACTTTCTGAAAGGATCCTTCTTGTTCCTGCAGTGGAAAATTGGGGCAGTGAGGGTGTACATGTTGCTTCGGATCCTGAAGTCCTAAACTTCACCTATGTAAGCGTTGGCCCCATATCCCTAGTGCTACTGGGCCTGCTGCCCCAAGTGGCCTGCCCCAATTCCTAACCTCTTCTTTCACTTCAGCCATTTCTATCCTTCGATATCGTTAAAAACCCTAACCTTCCAGTCTCTGTTAGTTAGTCGTTGAGTTTGACCAAGACACGTATCGTATCTGAGCGATGGTGAGGGTGCCCTTGCCGTCCTTGTCGAAAGTCTTGAACGCTTCAATGAGCTGCTCTTTTCTCAAAGCATCCTGAAAAAAGAGAAAAGGGAACAGTTACGGCAGTTTTGGAACTATTTAAAAATCGCACCTGTGGATGGAGTCCTAGCCTAAAAGTTGATCTACACCACAGGCTACAGGGCCACATCATGACCTAAGAAGAAGTTGTTCACCCAAACTTTAGCATCCTTTAGCACCCTACCAGTAACTGCCAACCACCGCCATGGCTGCAAGCGAAGAAACCTATGGCAGGATTTTAAACACGAGAAAATCTCTTCATGTCATGCCCCTTTTAAAAAAACAGCACAGTCCTCTCGATTCTCACAAAGCTTCAGGAAGGTTTCCTCAGATGAGCGTGTTGGTCGACCCAATCCGACATGTGCCATTCAACCATCTGCTCGCAACGAACTTTGAGTGGTCCTCACCCAGCTTTCTCGCAAACCCAACAGACTTTTTTGCTCTTAACATGAACACCCTCAACAACCTCTGACGATGCCATATAAAGTCCACTATGGCATCAACTTTTGTAGTCCAGTCCGCGCCTTCAGAAACCTCAAAGCCACGAGGTTGAGGAGAACGGGTCAAGACCATGGCTGCGAGAAATGGAATGAACCAAAATATGGATTGACAGGAAATCCTTACAAATACCTTATACCTTCTTGAGCTTATGTCAGGCCTTGAAGAACACAGAGCCAAACTGACAAGCTTCGAGCTGAAAGTGCCCTGTGCCAGTGTCGTTCTCCTCGATGATTCGCCGAAGTTCGGCTTCCGTTGGGTTTTGCCCAATGGCACGCCAAAGCTTTGCAAAGTCCGGCTTCCATGGGATGTAGCCTTGCCTGGATATGTTGATCTTGGCAAGAAAGCGTAGACACACTGAGGGTGCCCTGAAGTATGCAAACATGGCGGTCCTTTCAAAAGCATGCTTGTCAATGGATGGTGAGAGTGAAACCAATTACCCCTCGCAAAACCCTACGCGAAAAGCTCTGAACAAGGGTGTTTGAAAGAGTGTGTTCTCATTTCCCTCACTTCTTGGCTCAGTTGCTGGTGCTTGTCGAAGATATTGAAGGCCTCGGTATACTTGAGCCGGTCTGGCCCTGTGAGTCCATCACCCTCGCCATCTGCGTCCCCCATGGCGGCCGCTTAGCTTAGCAAAAGCTTTGAGCCAAGGCCTGGCAGAAGCAGCGATGTTCACCGAGGCGCAGCGGCCCACGGTTTGCAGCATGTTCAACATCGACGACATATCGAAACTCTCAACATCTTTGGGTTTTACCACCGTTCCGGGCCGTTCCGGGCCGTTCCGTCTGTTGCGTTCAATTCTGGAACGTTACCCATCCAATGCGTTCGGCTTTTTGGAGGCTTGAGAAGAAGGAAAGATTGGATGGACACTTGCTGTTCATCCAGTCGAGTTGTAGGGTTTTCGCTCGGATTTGACCGGATGCGTCCGAGAAAAGTCCGATGTTGGGCAAATTGGCATCCTGCGACTATGACCTCTGCCTCAAGGCACAAGGGGAAGAAAAAGAAACAACATGAAGTCCATCCTAGAGTTAAGAGAGGCGCCCGGCAAGTCAAACACATTGACTGCTGCCCTTGTGCACGTGGCCCCAAAACGTTGTGCTCTGAGCCTCCCAACTTTGGAATGGATTTGATGATCTCTTCCGTCCACAGCCTCACAAAAACACGCACTTGAGGGTCTTGAGATGTCTTACGTACAGTAATATAAACCCAAGCTAATAAATGAGATCGGGCACACACAGAGATAACCATGAGATCGGGCACACACCGTGTGGCTCTGATTTGTCAGCTCAGTTCAGTCCAGGAAGTTTGTACCTCATCATCCTCATCTTTCCGATCAACAAAGGATTGTGGCAGTGTCAGCTGCGTAGTGCAACCCCCATGAAAACAAAAAGTGTCAAACAATCTTCGGTGGAATGGCTGGCTGTATGAAGCTACTAGTAACAAAGATGTTAACAAGTGCATGTGCTGCATGTCTACGGGCAGATTGAGATTCACGTCGACCCGTGAGAGGACCCGCGAGACACGAAGGCTCCAGGTGTCGGTCTGAGGCCACTGGCAGAACAAGCAACGGAAACACCGTGCGCAACGGCCACTTGACTGGACACGCCTTGGTGAATGAAGCTCTGCTGAAGCACACCCAATTCATGTCGTCTAGCGGCTAGCGACACAGGCTTTCTTTCTTAATCTTTCTTCAACATGGGCCCGTGGTTCCAGAAACAAAGAGAACCAGAGAATGCAGCACCACAAGTTCTGAGAAGTGTGCGTCTTCACAGAATAAATGCCACAGAACAAAACCACCTCACTCTCCTTTTTGCACTCTGCGACCGATGTGGCACCAAGCTGCCACCTGTCCCACACAAGAAGAATGGCTGCTAGTTTCTTTTTTTGTGATCGAGCTCCTTCTGATTCCAGCTTGGCGCCGGTAACATCTGTGATCTCTCTCCCTCTCTCACTCTCTCTGTCCCGCAAACCTTGAGACAGGGTGCAATGATGGGCACTTGCGGCAATGGCTATTTCGACAGATTGGAATGATCGGGGCTCTAGCTTGGAATGACCAGGCTCCGCAACTTTTCCGTGTCTTCCGCGCAGAGCTGGCAAGGCCAATTTGCCTTCAGGTGACACGGGTCTCATTGCGCCATGCCTTGGGCATGACAGGGCGATTTGGTTCTGCCGGCACGAATTGTATACTAATACGCACATCGCCATTTCCATGCTGGTCAAGGGCATGAGCGAAGGTGGAGAAGGGAAAGTGTTCATGATCTCCAGACAGGCTTGCTTTTTAACAACTTTTAGTCTTTGGCTTTAGATTCTTCTTCATCCGAGCAAAGCTTCTTGCGTGGAAACAGCGCCGTCCCCATAAAACATGAATCGGGGAGCTGATTCACCTGCAACCTTCGGCCCAAAGCGACACCCATTCATTGTGCCCTAGCTAGTAGCGATGCCCTTTGCTCCTAGTAGCTTCTTGTTACTACTAGTAAGGCACCTGTTACTAGTAGCGGTGCACCTTGTTTCTAGTAGCTTCTTGTTGTTTTGCATGTCTGTCGAAAGACTTTGCACTACTTCTTGACATGTGGAAAACACCAATGCAGAACCTCATGTGCACGACGTGCATGTGCACCACTAATCACTTTTGACTGTAAAATCATCCGATGTTGAAGTTGAGACAAAACTAGATTAGCACATGCTACTGCACATGCTGTATCTGCTTAGGGTGGGACCCACAAATATTTATCTCTTGCAGTCAGATCGGTTATATAGAGTCTGGGCGTCGTCAATAGATGCAGGGCAATGCACAAGACCCGGGGCTCAATATCAAAGACATTGCAGCGTTGCATCATTCTTCGACCTACAAGGGGGTCATTGCCGGCTATACAATGTCATCATTTATTGCTTCACCGATCTCCATATGGTGGTAACCATCCTGCCTGATCTGGGACACCCTACGTTTTGTCTAGACTCTCCGAGCAGGTCCTCTGAACAACGCTGCTAAACAAGGGTATTCCTCCCTTATAGGAGGTGCCACAAGTGCATCCTTGCTGGATCTTGCTGATCCAACTAAGCGGACTTTTCCAGCATTGAAGGCGAACAGCCTTCCCAGTCTTTGCGGCTTTGGTATTTGTATGGCAATCTGGCAATCTTTAGCCACTTTAGCCAACCAACACCCATTGGTCACAACTCAGCATTCACATCTACACACCAAGCTTTGCCTGGCTAGAATAAAGTGATGACACACACACACACACTTACTTGGAACATGTGCTGAGCGTGACCTAAATGGTGAAGTTATTCCGCATGACATTCAGGATCTCTGGAAGATTAGCAAAGCGCTCCATAAAAAGATCTGCAGGTATAAACAGCATGACCTCAGCAGGGTTGGGCTTAAACCATGCACACAGATGTAAACAGCAGTGTTCAGCAGGGCTGCATCCTAACTAAATTTTTCTCAATCCAACACTTTCTGCGAATTGCTTTGTGATGATTTGTGAGATTTTGGTGAGACTGCAACGTCGTGGCAACTAGCGGAGCTGGGACCCCGTGACCACTTTCGACGTTGCTGCGACACTGTAACTGTACCTTCAGCACAAGTGGCTGTAAAATGTTGTAGCAAGATTCTCAAACGCCTGGAATGTCGAGGCCTCCCCACTCCCTACACTTGCTGAGATCCTTAAGCTAGGTTGGAGGTCATTGCTAGTAGGTTGGAGGCCATCGCACTTAGGTTGGAGGCCATCGCTAGTAGTTGCTGAGATCCTTAAGCTAACTTAAGTCTCTCGAGACACATTAAACCTTTCTGGGAAGCGTCTTAGACGGGCTGATATGGCCTGCGCCATCCAACACAATTGAAACTCTGCAGTGTTCGTGCCAAGGAGAAGGAACGTTTTGTCTCCTGAAGAGCTTCCCACCAAGATACTCCTTTTCAATGCCCAGTAGTATTTCTTCTCCAAAGCTATCCTGGGCCAGCAGGTGCCGTGGTCTTATCTATTTCGATACATCTAACGGGAGTGTGCACTGCACATTGTTTGTCGCCTATTTGGAGAGACGTACACGGAGAAGCCTGAGAAGTATAGGCAATAGTGGCCCTACAAACATCCGACAATTCATGCTCAAGCGTCTGCAACTTGCATTCAACTCTTGTCTATATAGATGCGTCAGGTGGTTCTGTTCTGCGTAGGACAACCGGGGCGCACATCGGCCAATTGCCCTCTATTTATCCAAGCATCGCCAGCTCTGAGCACTTCGGGGGCTTTGGAGGCCCGTGTGGGAGCATCTTCCGCATTATGATCCATGATGGCAATACCATCCTGAGCAATTAGTTTCTCTCTGCAAGTAGAGACTTGAAACACACACACACACACCTAATGGACACCAAAATGGAAACTTCTTACGCAATGGCATACAAAAACACCATGGCACAAACCACTGGATGATTGGCATTTTGGCGCGCTATTTCATACAAGTCATGCTCGTCTTCTGTCATCTTCTCTCGTTGCATCTATGGGCCAAGAGGCCAGGATCACAAACATACCCGAGCCAATGCTTCCAAAGGAGGTAATCCGCTCCATTGGCTGGGCGGTGATCCTCAAAGCTACAGTTGACCATCAAAGGAACATGTTGATCGGAACCAGATGCTTTGACCAAATCCTTTGACATTAAAGACACGTTAAGACTCACGCTGGTTCATCATGACTCATAGTTGGTTGCGTTGCTTTGGGATTTCCACTTCCCGGCAGTCTTTTCAAACCAAACAAAAAACAGTGGCACCAGCACAGCCCTTGGAGCTGGTAAAGGGTAGGGCAATTAATTAATCTTTCAGCCCAGCTGCTGTTGTAGTATAGGAACAATTCTCACGATTGCACTCGATGGTATGTTTTGGAATAGCAAGTGGTTGAGCAACTCCGCAGGCACCAAATATTGCGCCTGCAGTCTGGCAATGTCTGGATGACCATCCCAAAGTTATCGAGGAATTGCAAGGTAGAAACAAAAAAGCACAGCCACAGCCATGAAAACATGTGACAAAAACATGTGACAACTTCTTAAGTACTGCCTTCAGTATGAATAATCTGGTTCAATTTGCAATCTCTGACAGAAAAGGGTCTCTCCAACTTTTGACGCACCAATCGCAACCTACTCGTGCCAAGGTCTGCACAAATAAAACACTAAAGTAGTTGGCCACTAAAAAAAGAATCGTCCCAATGCTCTATTTGGACCCAATGTGTGGGTTGGCACTATCAACCACGTCTGAGCGTGCGTGGAAGAGCAGCATGCAAAAAGTCTTCAACAAAAATAAAGAAACACAAGTATCTCAGCTTGACTTGGACGGGGCAGCCTTATTGGGAGACTTATCATAATTGTTTTTCTTGGTTTTTGTGGTTTCGCAGGTCTCGTGGGCTTTGCAAGTTTTTGCGTTTTCAAGGTTTTCGTATTTTCGTGCCGGATCCCTGCGAGCAGACTTGGGAGACTTAGCTTTATCGTGATATGCCCTCCAAATATAAGTTCAGGCACCACATCTGTCCGCAGCTCAGGCGAGAGTTCGTTGAAAATGGAAGAGTCGTCCAGGGCAGCCTGTCGAGTAGATCCACCCTCCTTGAATGCTTCACCAGTGCTCCTCCCCCAAGACC